AAATGTTTCTAATGTTTTTTGTTTATGATTATTGAACTCAATTTTGTATACACCATGCCTAAATAAATAATATAATAATAAATAGTAATATAAGATTATGATATTGCGGATGACATGTTTTTCAGACTAAGATTAAATATCAAGAAATTGTTTATGTATCAAGATGGAGATATAAGATATTTTTGTTTACATTTTCCTAGTCTGGGGAACATGTAAATAAATAATAAAAATTCAACTTTAGCCAATATCTCTTTTTAACTAGCCAAGTTTATCATTTTATCTAATTTACAAAATTATTGCATACACTCATCAGATATACAGTAAAATGTGGAAACAATATTCTAGTTTTGCTCACAGCCTAATTGTTTAATATTTTTTCTTTCCATTTTTAGGGGAACTTTAAAAACAAGTCAGATATGCTTACTTGCTTTTAGATCTCTATTAAAAAGATKGCAATGACATTTATTTAACAAAAACAATTGCCTCAAAAATAAAAGTGACAAAGTATTTATGGAAAAACAATATTAATTTTTATCTGATTTTTAACAAATAGTGCTTACAAAGTTGCATCATATTCATAAAGTGCAATGTTGATGAAACAGAGACATTTTTATAGAGGGGGGATACTCCTTGAATTATTATACTACCATAAGCAAGTAATATAATAAAAATTAGTCGAGCCTATTAAATTAATTGTTATTCATCTTAGTCTGTGATTGTTCTGCAGTACCACCTAACAAATAAACACAATTTTAAGTATTATAATTTGAAAACTGAGTTCAAGTAACAAACATGATTGTATCTTAATTTTTTCCATCATAAAACACATGATTAAAAAAGTTTTCCTAAGAGCTTAAATAGAATTATGCAAACATAAGCTTTATTAATTTATAACTTTAAACAAACAATAATATCATTGGTTATGACARAAATAATTATTAATCTATAAGAATAGTTTTACACAAAACARATTTCTAAGTAAGACTAATGTATTATAATACATAAATAATAYTATGTTATTGTTACCTTATCGAGTTCTGTAATATTTCACTTTCTTTAATCATTTTTTTTATAAAATCAACTTCTCCACCCATTGTATACATTTCAGAAGTAATTCCAACTGCGCTATCTGCTTCATCATCTGATGAATTTAAATTTGAGAAACTATGAAAAGGTGGATTACACATACAAAAGTCATAATGTTCATCTACAGCTACTGGCAATAATCTCTCCCACTCTGATACCTCTAGAACTAAAMACAGAAAAATTGAATTAAAAAATTTCATTATACTTCATAATTCTAGTTAAGTAATTACCTTGAATTAAATTTTGTAAATTATTTTTTTCTACATTTTTATTAGCATTTTTAACAGCTTCTTTATTGATATCAGTACCGACCATGGACCACTGAAATTGTTTAGCTGCTAATAATGGATAAATACACGATGAACCTGTGCCTGAAAAAATAAAATATTTGRTTTGATTTTAATTATCAACTACCAAGCATGCTAATAAAAAATAAATAAAATTAAGTTTGTATTAACAGTTTACACATAGTAGATGATTAATTAAAATAACTAACGATAAAATTAAAATAATTTATAAAAGGGAGGGGGGGAAGTAGGTAACTACTTTGCTGTACAGCAAGAGTCGATAGTAACTCGTCATCAAGTAGGTCACTTTAATAGATGTACCTATTAAATATAATTCAATTAATGATACATCGTTGCATATAGAAAAGACAGTGTCAAAGTGTAAACCTATAATTTTATAAATATATTACTATTAATTATAAAAGTAATAGTATAAATAAATAAATATTGAATTATAAAGGCAATAGAATAAAATCAATCTCAATCTTTTGATGATGTTATTGTATGTACAAAATATAATAACTTATAAAAGGTATACGTAAAATTTGCAAATATCCAAGTACAATATTTTTGAATAACAACAATATAAATAAAATAGTTATTTATTATTAATACATGAAATTTTAATTTCAAATGATTAAAAACAAAAATTAAATTTGCATATTTCGATTCAAGTATGAACTATTTATGGAGAACCTTGTGTTTGAGTGGTAAGGTAAGCACTTGCTATAAAAATTTTGWTTAATTTTATCAAAATTTGAACTTCAGATGATTAAAAATTAAAAAATCATGCTTACATTACATAATCTTTAATATTTATAAAACTTATGAGTAACCTTGTATTAAATTGTCAAGATTTTTGACGGACTGAAATTTTTCAAGTATATACTACTATACCRTGATATAAACAAAAATATATGATTGTAACTTTTTGATGGCCAAATCTTTYGAAAGGATTTTAATGACAATATGTTACTATGATATTATGGGTAAGCAAGTGATGCACTGTGACGCAGTAGCGTCATTTCAGTTTTTGAGAGGGAGGGGCAAAAGTTTTGATCGACCCATAATATAACTAAAAAAAAAATTAAAACCACTAGCTAACAATTACATTTTTATGTCAATACAGAATAGCCTTTTTATATAATTTTATACATACTAGTAACTATTACGGTTATCTGAGATAAGACAAAGACATAAATAACTCACTTTTTGAGGGATAACAATGACTAAATAATACATATTAATATATTATTATACACATATATAATAATATTTACTATGTAATTTGTAGAGGCATACACAATATTACCTTTTTTTTTCCAGTTCAAAAACCGGGAAAACGGGTGGGAAYTGTTTATCACAATACTGCCACCAACCTAATGTTACCTATTAGTTATTATATGACTTATTTTAAGAGGAAATTTATCACCATTGATGTCTCCTATTTACGACAAATATGAGTATAAATGTATTAAACAAAAAATAAACAACAATACATACCTACAATAAACTATTAAATATTTATTAAATATTTATTATTAATTTATGTTTTTAAAGTGCAACTTAGATAGTTAGAATGTAAGATGCTAGATATTAACTGGGTATCTTCTTKTCTTCATAGTACCAAATATGTCAACAGCTTGATTTAAATCTATATATTAGTGAAGCTAAAGAAATAATTTGAAATGTTAATTTATAGTGGGCTTGGGGCCCATATTCGACCCACTAATGATAAGGGGGGGGGAGGCAAATGCCCACCCTGTCCCACCCCAAATGATGCCACTGCTGTGACTTACTTAAGCCAAATCTAGACATTTGCATTCTACTATATAGGTTATTTGTATTGAAAATACAMAAGCTTAAGAAAATTGTAACTTTATCCACGAATATTCTATTTTACCAAATTTAAACTTTAGAAAATCATAAAAATATTAATGGAATTATTCTCATATTTTTTTAAAACCCAATTTTAAAAACTTATGAGGAATCTTGTATTAATGCAATTTTAATTTTAAATAGTAGGTATGAATATAATTTTTTTGGGAATTTTGAATGATATATTTTATTA